TCAATTGTTGTGGACGGGACTTGGCTGATTGCAGCCGTAGTCAACCCTGATGGCACTCAAGAGGAGGGACCAGTGGAGGGAGCGGCTTGGAAGTCGGTGACGAAGTTCATAAAGGCCCTGGGTGAAGGAAGCACAGAACAGACGGGCGACCCGGCGGCTACTAGTAACTTGATTGATGCACTGGGGATTGGCGTACCGGGGTCGCGCATACCGCACACGGAATCAGTAGATGCTCGGACGGAGTTGGTGTACGCCCTAGTCTTGTCGAAGAGTGATACAGCAAGTTATTCGAGCCAACTGCCCGTCGAGTGGGGGTGCAGATCGAGGCTGGAGCTTTGGCCACGGGTTCGACTTTGAGGTGATGTCAATGAATGAAGTGTGGTGGGTGCAAGAGACGATCACTCTCTAATCGCGTTGGTTCACGGGGGCACTGAATTCAAGGGAGAGTTCTTTGACCTGGTTCAGAAGTGTTGATAGTGCAGGTTATATGTGACTGCGCCATACCGACCACAAGGGAACGGTGTTAACGAGTCGAGTCACCGTGGAATATCGAAGGCTTTGCATGGAGCGGACGTACGGAGCGGTTCGGAGTTACGCGAGGCTGTAACTTCTGCTGTGCTTGCGCACAACAACGTCCCACACCCAGCGACAGAGCTTGCACCAGCGATGGCGTTGATTGCGAAAGAGCACAACACGCTACATGCGCAACCTGTTGGGTTCCAGCGCGGAGTGAGTTAGGGTGTCTGCCGCGGAGGCAAGGCATTGGATTGACGGAGTGCCGCAGCCCCAAGGGATCCCGGAGTTGTCAAAAGCCGCGGAGGAAGTAGTGGGGTCTAGCGGTATCCCCCGGAAACGAAAGCGCACTGACAACGAGCGAGACAACGACGACCTGGTCAAGGCGCCTGAGGAATTCGCCATGTTCTCAGTCGAGGAAGGCTGTGGTTTGTCGTAGCCGTGCACCGTCATTTGTCGTGTGCACATTGTGGCTACTGGCCGTAAATTTCTAGGGTAAAGGGGGGACGCAAAACAACAGCAAACCATGGTCGAGTCTACCACCCACGAGCACGACAGTGGCCCGAGTTCAGCCACGGAGGACCTGCGCGATGTCAGTCGGCGAGGTCGGCTTTCAGTTGCCATGTCTCACCCGCCGAAGCTTTTTGTCAAATAGGAGGAGAGTCAGAAACCGTAGCAATGCAAGTTACCAGAACCAACACCGAGGACTCTTCCTACAACGGAGGCAGCACCACGCCAGCAGCGGACCAGCTGCAGCGCTTTTCGTCCTTTCGGGAGATAATGATTGATGAGGTCAACTGAACTCAAGTAGTGGTGGGTCGAGCGAAACTTTTTTCCCTGGGCGTGCGGTGAATGAAATCAGTAGCTGCCGCCGCAACAGCGAAGCCTGAGTGCAATGGGGCCGTTGGGAGTCGAGATCGTGCGGGCGACGGTCCAATGAACTGGGACAGTTTCAAAGGGAATCGAGGAACCCGGACAACGCAAGGTAGACGAGTGAAATCCTACCTGACAGGGCCGGTGTGTTGGGCCGTCAGAGTGTGCAACTCGTCGGTCGCCTTTGGCGGTTACTTTTGACGGCATAAAAGTAGCCTCTTCTACGGCGTGGCCCGCGCAGGCCGCGTGAGGTTGATTGCAGCTCTGGTGAGCCCCGACGGGACGGTGTTGAAGGGTACACTGCTCGAATGATCGAACTATGTTGCCCGAGTCAGCCCGATCAAGTTGTTCAGGCAGCGTCTCGGAGAAGCTGCTTGAGTGGCCGTCCTTCTCGCGAATTGGACAGTAGAGCCTGGAAGTGAAGAAGTTCGTAACGTCTCTGGTCACGAGCGGGCAGGGGAGCATGTACAGCGACAACCCGGAGGTGACTAGACGGGCGTTGACTATGGGTGCAGCTGTTTGGCACGCGCCGATCGAAAACCAAATTCTGCCAAGTAGAGCAACACTGCCGAGCACAACACTGGAGTATTTTATACTGGAGCCTATCATACCCTCCCTACCACTCACGGTACTTGGTCACGGTCTCTCCAGCATCCCTCGGAGCAGTCTTACAAACCCGGAGTCCTTGCTTTCATTGATAACAATTCCGTTCTCGTTGCCATCTTGTTAGCGGGAAAAAGACATGTCGTCCATCAACTGGTGCATCCTTCCAATGTTCTGCACCTCTTCTGGGTCGTGTCATCCACGAGGGTCGTGTCATCCACGAGGGTCGTGTCATCCACGAGGGCCGTGTCATCCACGAGGGTCGTGTCATCCACGAGGGTCGTGTTGTCCGTGCGTGCGGTGGTGTTCCAGAAATTTGTGGTAGCAGGCTCCGTGGCATTCGAGATGTAGTAACCAACAGTAGTGTTGCCCGAGGTCAGCCGCTCCGTGTCTGGGTATGTATGCGACTGGATGGTCTCGGTGTCATTCCAGATGTTAGCAGTAACAAACTCTGTGACATTGTGGCCGTAGTTACCAACGGTCGAATGCGCGGTTTCCATAGAGGAATTGGTAAGTAACGAAGTTATCGAATCCTTCAGCGACCGGATTACCCGTCGGAGTGAAGAGCCAGCGGTAAGTCCGAAGGCCGAGGTAAGGTTCGACTTCAAAGTAAGCTCCGGGGCCAAGTGGACGTGCGGCGCGTCGAGGACTAGTGGTGATTGGTGGATTGAAGTGAGTGCTTGCGTGAGTGGTTGTGGCTGCATTGTAGTGTGGTTGGCGAGGGAGCTGAGCCCACGTCGGTGCCTTCCGTGTGAGTGGGGGATTTCATACAGGAGGAAGGCCATAAGGACACTGCCGAAGGAGAAGCCGAGTGCTATCATTTGCCAGTCGATGTATGTGTATGGTTCAAAGGCGACCTGACGCTCAAAGAGGGGACGCCAATGGTTGGGCGCATAGCGCAAGAACTTGCTGATTTCGTCTGACCGCATTGCGCCTATGTAGTAAAGTGAAGCCTGTTCCGTGGGCACGGTGGCCATGACACGCTGGCTGGCATGTGGCCCGAAAACCTCTCGCAGTAACTCCTCGCACGCCGCCGGTTCGGAGTCGTCCAAACCCGAGTCGTGCAGACGCTTCGTCAAGTCCCTATACACAATCCTCTCAACGTGAGGAATCACCTCCGCCCCCACGTCCAAGTCACTTCGGAAGAATATCAATCCGTGCAACTCCTGGAACCAGTCAAATGCTCCCCGTTCCAGCAATGGAATCCCTTCTTCCACCTCCTGTTCCGACACTACCTGTTGCGACACTCCCAAACTCCGAGACCGCCTCCGCCACAAAGACACCCACCGCGACTTCCGCTCTCCTCCACTCGGTTCTGCCCCACTCGGCCTTGTCGAAGTCAGCTCTATTACAATAGATTCTGCCTCAGTCTGCCCTGCTGCACTCTGCCTTGCCCAACTCGGCTCCGGAGCAGTCTGCCTTGCCCAAGTCAGCTCTGTCGCACTGGGCTCTGTCGCACTGGGCTCTGTCCCGCTCAACTCTCCCCCACTCGGCTCTGTCCCGCTCAGCTCTCTCCCACTCGGCTCCGCCTCACTCGACGTTGCTCCACTCTGCCTCGTCAAAGTCAGCTCTATCCCACTAAGCTCGGCTCTACTCGGTTTGGCTCCACTCCGCATTGCCCAACTGGGCTCCGGAGCAGACTGCCTTGCCCAAGTCCGCTCTGTCTCACTCAGCTCTTCCTCAGTCAGCTCTGCCCCATTCTGTTCTGCCGCGCTTGGCCTTGCCGCACTCGGCTCACCACGTCTAGCTCCACTCTGCCTTGCCCAAGTCAGCTCGGTCCCACTCTGCCTTGCCCAAGTCAGCTCTGTCGCACTGGGCTCTGTCGCACTGGGCTCTGTCCCGCTCAGCTCTCCCCCACTCGGCTCCGCCTCACTCGACGTTGCTCCACTCTGCCTCGTCAAAGTCAGCTCTATCCCACTAAGCTCGGCTCTACTCGGTTTGGCTCCACTCTGCATTGCCCAACTCGGCTCCGGAGCAGACTGCCTTGCCCAAGTCCGCTCTGTCTCACTCAGCTCTTCCTCAGTCAGCTCTGCCCCATTCTGTTCTGCCGCGATTGGCCTTGCCGCACTCGGCTCACCACGTCTTGCTCCACTCTGCCTTGCCCAAGTCAGCTCTGTCCCACTCTGCCTTGCCCAACGCGGCTCTGCCCAACTTGGATCTGCCATAGTCCGCTCACTGCGTCTTGCTCCGCTCTGCCTTGCCCAAGTCAGCTCTGTCCCTGACCTTACCCGACTCGGCCTTGCCTGCGGGCCCGGCCCCTTGCTTTTCAAGACGTCAAAGACCTCCTTCGGCGCAACCGCTACGGCCAAAGCGACTGAGCCAGAGCCCCGTGAGAAGCAGACAATCCGCGGCACACACCCCTCCAACCCCGGCTTCGTACCGTCCCGCTCCAAAAGCACCGCCAGTAACTCACCCGACTTGACCCAACTTGACTCCGAACTTGCCACTGTCCTCATCCCCTCCAAAACAAAAAAAAGAAAACCTGAGCCCCAACGACCCCATCGAACAACACTACCGCATAACCCACTTCCCGTATGAATTCCCCCTACACGCGTAGCCAACCAAAGGTGTAACCAACCAAAGCCCGCCCGATCAAATCCAACAAAGCACGAATTATGGCATCTTTCCGTGGCCGTTCTGTCCCGGCGCACACTTTGCGGATGTCGACCAAAATCTGGGAACTTACCAAAACGACAGTTAGGTGGTGGAGGGTCAGGCGAAGGTGGGCTGAGAACGGCACCCCCAAGCTGGACTTCTGAGAACAACGCTTTCGTTCGCGGTGGTCCGAGGTCGAGGGGATTTAAAAATGAATTATGAGGTTCAGGGCAAGCCACTAGCAGCAGTCCCTCCTCAGAAAGCTTGTGCGGCCTGCGCCGCGAAGAAGAAGACAGCGTGCTACTGCGCCACCGCCAAAACTCTGTGTGCGCAACACTTCCTCGCCGCACGGGGTTGTGTGCTCCACACGGGTGTGTCTCTGCATCACACGGATGTCTCTCCTTCACACGGATCGCAGTCCTACGGGTAAGTGCCTTTCAGTTTGCCATCAGTATGAGGGACGGTACGTGCCCCAGTTGCGGGAGCAGTGCGAGAAACTGCACGAGGTGAAGTGTCGCCTCAACAAGTTCGACCTGGCTTCCTGGTCGAAGCACACGGACGCTCAGTTCCGAGGCGGGCGCGTGAAACTAAAAATAAAGCAGACACTCGACGTGCACCCCGAGTTGTTAACGAACGCCTGGCTTAAGCTGTACGAGATACTCAGCTCGTACACCGAAATCTGGGAAGTGCTGCGACAACAACCGGATATAAAGACCCGTAAGCTAGCCACGGGTGGTAACACGCACCATGTGGTGGTAACACGCATCACGTGGTGGTACATGCGGTGTGTGTAGTACATTTGGGTGAGTGTCCTGGAGCCTTTGTGGCGTGTACCAACCACTGGTTACGGACGAGCATTAGTCGAAGCGTGAGTTGGACATGGTGGGCGAACAGTTTGGATCCGTGGAGTGAGATGAATGACTGGCGCGAGAAGCTGGACTCTTCTTTCATGCGGCACACATACGGACACTGGTTGAAGGGTGCTGACGGGACGGGTAACCTGTGTCGGCTGGCCAACGTAGCGGCGGTTCTGGAGGCGGAGGCGAAGGTGGATATGGTGACGGCTGACGGGTCTTTCGGGACGCAGCATGACGCAGCAAGTCAGGAGGAGCTATTACTGCCACTCGTTCTTGCCGAGGTCGTCGTCGCCTGGGGCCGTCTGAAACCAGGCGGTGTCCTAATCCTCAAACTCTACGGCCCCACGACGCCGGTTACAGTCAGTGTTGTCGCACTTCTCAAAAACTCTTTCGACAAACTATGGTTGCACAAACCTAATCTCTCCAAGCCAGGCAACTCTGAAGTCTACGCTGTGGCCGTTGGTTATGTAGGTGTCTCCGGCACCCTCTTTGAGCGCTCTAAAAAACTCGTAATCTACGAACCCACCTCCTCCGCGAATCCGGAGGTCCCTGGTTCGAGACCGGGTCCGGGCGGACAGGTGGGGCGGTCTTTGTTACGTCTGGAGCGCGAAGTGGCACCGGCGTGCCTAGCCAGCATCTTGGCGGCCACACGGCAGTTGGTAGAGGCCCAGGTGAAGTGCATTCAAGACAACCTGAACACGTACAGCCACAAGATGGTGACGATGACGGTGCGGCTTAAGGACCAGTTTGCGTTGGAGTTCATGCAAAAGTTCCAGCTACAAGAACTGCCGCGAGAACTACGCGTGTGTCCCAACGTAGATTTGGAAGAGCTAAGTCGTAACGCAAAACTCTCTGTGTCCGCCACAGATGCCGAACGCGCACACGATTTCGGCGACTGGCAAGCTGTCCAACAACTACGACTTAAACCTTTTGTCGCCCGCGGCGGCCCGTGTTTGGAAGTGCGGGTGTCTTCAAGTGCCACCCTTGCTACCATACGCGAACCGCCACCATGGCCGGTACGGGACGCCGGAGGTGTGACACCGGGTGTGGAATTGCACGAGTTCTCCAGCCAAAAAGAAAGGACAAAAGAAGTCGGTACTGGGCGCCATCGCAAGACGCTGGAAGAGCCACCGCTCGCTGAAGAAATGGTCCTTGCATTAGCGCCGGAGCCGGACTCCGATCAAACAGCCTGCGCGACGGAGATTGGACGGTGGCCACAGCTAGGTGGAATCCTGAAGCCATTCCGCATCGTGAGTTCGCCCTATTATAGCCCCGATATTTTCACCGCGCTCATTCGGTACCGCGTACTGTTGCCGAATAAAGTACCCGCGCTCGCCTTTGCAGATATTTGCCATCTCAAACGCAAGGAGTTCGGGCTCTTGTCCAGCGCAACTTCGAATCTCGCGGGTTCGAACATGGGGGGTTCGAATCCCGCGGGTGCCAACGTGGCGGGCCAAAACCCGGTCTCCCTTTTGTCTAGTGTGTCATACGACGTGGCCATTATGTGTTTGATCAAGTTCCGCCAAAAGGGGTCGGCGCAACCGCACTGGCTGGAGGTCACGCACCCTTCGGAGTTGGGCACGATGTCCGAGCCTTTTCGCCGCACAGGCTGTCGCGGTCTGTGTGTGGACCTGTCCAGTGCGAGTTCCAATCCGGCGGGTGTGGGTTCGAACCCGGCAGGTGCGGGTTCGAACCCGGCAGGTGCGGGTTCGAATCCGGCAGGTGCGGGTTCAGTGCCTGTATTCCGTTGTCCAGGAGGCGAGGACTGGGCGGCTTTGAAGACTGAGCTGCGTTCGGCTTCATTGCGTCCGGCTGTGGCATTGGTTGGTACGCACGGGAGTGTGGCGAAGCGGGAGATATTACAGGAGGAGGTAGACGAGCAGAAGTTTTTATTGCGTGCGTTACGAGTGGCATTGCGATACTTGGCGGACGGCGGTGATCTGTTGCTGGGACTGTCGACAACCGGTACCCGCTTCTCGGGTTCATTGCTATTGCTGCTATCTGTCTGCTTCAAAGATCTTACAGTTGCCCGACCTCCAACGTGCGCGGCCTGGACACAACGTCGCTACGTCTACTTCCGCCATTTCCTCACGCGGCAAAAAGCGAGAAAACTTGTTCTAGGTTTAGTTAATGCCGCCGCCCTCGAA